TCATGAGAATGGACTAGTTTGGGCCAACTCTCAGCTGGCTGGGAGCTTGAATTGGAGCATGCTCAGTTAAAGGGGGGTCTTCTTTTCTTTTAATAATTTTTTTAGGGGCTCATACAACTCTTATAAAAGGGTCTTCATAGGTGTTTAATGGTCACCTGATTTCCTTCTCAACCTCCTCTAGGGGGCTTGTGCAGGCATAGGAGGGACAACCTCCTGTGCCTATTCTGGCTACCTAACAGTATCAGACTTATGGACTTGAGTCGGACTGTGCTGGGATGTTTTCTTGATATATAACTACTTCTTGATGCATTTGTTTCTCTAGTCAGCCTGGCTTAACATAGGAGGTAACCATTAGATACACAGGGAGAGAAAATTGTATTACAAGGGCCATAGTGGAAAAAAAGTATAATTTGTGGGAAACTGAGGACCTGGAAGAAGGTGTGTATGGCCTATTTTCTACTCTCTGGACAGGCTGGATGACCAGCAGGATTCCCCTGGCTGCAGATTTAGTGCCCATGACAGGGGGGCATGGACACGCTGAAGAGCTGCAAACCAGCCAGTTCTTCATCAATGGGGAATTTGAAGAAGGCATGCTCAGCAAGGTGCAGTGGGGGGCCAGCTGGAAATTCAGGGAGGAAGGAGTGTCCTTAGTGGAAGGAGGTGCGCCCCATTTGTTCACGGTGAGGGCCACGGGCTCCATCTGTGCCTGGGACAGGCCTTCGGAGGTCTGGAAGAGCTTACCCAGGCAAAGGTGCCAAGTAGACGGCACCATACTTGTGGGTTTTGTGTAATTAGACGTGTAGGACAACGAGATTGGGACCACGGGCTCTTAACATTAGCATACGTCTGGTTGAACTTTCTAGGGTGCTCAGGTGTTTAACTTTGAGAGCCCAGTGCACTGAGCGCAGCAGGCAAGAAAAAAAAGCCCAGATCTGGGCTTCCTTGAACCTCGCGAATGCAGTAATGAATGAATGCAATAATGCCATCCCTCTGATTGGACAGCGGTGGAGGCTGCCACTGGGGGCAGGGATGAGGACAGGCGTGAGTGTGACAAGCGCTCGCTCTGTGCCCCAGCTCCATCCAGCTCCGCTCCTGTCCAACTCCAGACAGTCACAGGACACTGGTACCGCTTGCTCTGCTAGCCTCCTCATTCATGCTTTTGTGACAGTTTCCTTTGCTCTCAGATGCCTTTTTTTCTGTCCCTGAAATCTCCGCAAACTCTCGGCCACAGTTACAACCCGTGTTCATGGTCTCCCTTATCCAGATAATGTCTTTAGCTCTGTCTTATCTTCTTAATAAATAACCTTACATGTTGGGGGGGGGGGGTTTGGTGTGTGTGGGGTGTCTCTTGGGCACTCTAAAACAGGGTCACCAGGTTCTCCTATAAATAGAGTATGAAGTCTGTGATGTCACTCAGGAAAAAGAAGCGTGTTCAGGAAAGAGCTTCACAAGTTCAGAGTTGCTATTTACGAACTCAAGCTAGGAGTGGGGTTTTGTTTCCGGAGCTGAAGAATGAGACTGGACTGAAGGCTACTGCAAAGCCTCTCTCTCTCT